TTTCCCTTTTTCTTCCTCCCCCCCTCCACTGCATCCCCATTCAAATTCATGTCTTCTTCTATAATTATTATCATTATATATGTACCTCTCTATATTATAACCTACTGAGTCCCATTAATGTTGCCTGCATTACCCTTGGTATAAGGCTGACCACTTGGGCATGGGCAACCTATCAAGGGCTTGTCTCTGAAGAAAACTGACCTCCCTCAGTAACTTTCCATCACCTGTAGCTCTTCAAGTAAAGGTAGGACCTTGTGTGCCCTTTCCCCACCCATGCTGGAATGTTTTATATATATATAACTTAGTCCAAATAGCATTACCATTACCCTTGGTATAAGGCTGACCACTTGGGCATGGGCAACCTATCAAGGGCTTGTCTCTGAAGAAAACTGACCTCCCTCAGTAACTTTCCATCACCTGTAGCTCTTCAAGTAAAGGTAGGACCTTGTGTGCCCTTTCCCCACCCATGCTGGAATGTTGGCTGGTATGTTCTTATGCAGGTAACCACACTGTTGGGAGTTCATGCATGCAACACTCCTGTCATGTCCAGAAGACACTATCTCACAGCAGTCTTTTTCAGTACTCTGGCTCTTACAATCTTTCGACCCCCTCTTCTGCAGTGTTCCCTGAGCCTTGGATGTAGGGGTTGTGTTATAGATGTCCCTATTTTGGGGATGGGCACTCCACCATCACTTGAGAGTTCTCAGAAGAATAAACAAAAATGGCCATTATATTAAACTTCACCCACCCAGGGCTCAGGGACCACTGCAGAAGAGGGGGTGGAAAGATTGTAAGAGCCAGGGAGGAGGTGCATGATCACATGGAAACAAGCTCCTGGAACCCTGCTCATATGATTCTATGGCAATGGTGTCAGCATACACAAATCCCATGCAAACTCAGGAGGAAAAAAATCCAGCATACAACTGGGGAACTGAACAGCAGACCCCAATCTTAGCTGAAGAAATATTGGCAATTGATTAATGCTAGGTGTGGAAGAGACGATCTTCTTAAAACAAAGACTCTAGATAGGCTGTACAGACCTCAGTGGATGGATTTGAACTGGGAAACGTCTGGGGACACTGATTGACACAAATGACTCGGGGCTTTAAACATGAATGACAGAGTATATGGATTCCAGTGGAGGGGCTATGGGAGGGTGCCGGTGGGGACAGGGGTATAAAGATGATTAAAATTGTTTAAGACATTCTGTATGAAATACACAAAAATTCAGATACAGAAAAGAAAAAGAAAAACAAACACCAGCTGGTGAGATGGCTCAACGGGTAAAGACACTTCTGCCAGACCTGAGCTGAATCTCCAGGAACCACATGGTAGAAGGAGATAACCAACTCCTGAATTTGTCGTCTGATGGCCACACATGCACCACACACAACACACATGCACAAATATACAATCAATTCCTGGGCATAGTGGTGCATACCTTTAATCCCAGCTCTTGGGAGGCAAAGGCAGACAAACCTCTGTGAGTCCAAGGCCAGCCAAGTCTACATAGTGAGTTGCAGGCCAACTGGGACCACAGGGAGACTCTGTTTCAAAAAGACCAAATAATAATAATAAACAAACAAATATGTATACACAATAAATAGATAAAATGTAATAAAAATATGTTTAATATTTGATTTTTTATTTTAAAATATTTTATTACCATTGCTTTCTTTAAGAAGAAACATGAATACATTGGAAGACTTTGTTTAGGTTTAAGAATTTGGAAACAAAGTGAATGGCAAACTCATATAGGAACAGAGACAAATTTCACATTATTGTTGAAGTTTGGTAGTACAGTTTTGTCAGTAAACAATATTCAAAAACTTTAGTAGACATATGGAATTTCAAATTTACATTGTGAGATATAATTATCTAATTTTGGTTTGAGGATTATCTCAGTTTAGTTATTTCATTACTTTCCTTTTTTAACTTCTAAAAGTTCAATTAGGGCATAGGTGAAGGCATACTGTGGTGCCTTCTTCTTGGTGCCTGGCAATGGGCGCCATGTGTGGAGTGGAGACCACAGCTGGCCCCCAGGGGAGGTGGGAGGTCCATTTCAGAGAATCAGTCCTCCGAAGACCAAAATCTGAAAATAACAGAGACCTTCCCCTGTCCCCAGCGTAAGAGGCAAAGCCTCTGCCATGCACAACCTGGTGAATTCACACACGCACGTGCACACACACACACACACTCACACACATCTGGGCAGTGATATGCCACAGGCTTATACCAAAAACTGGTAAAGTAAATTTAAAAGAGATGAACAAGTACTGCCAAACTACTAAAAAAAATTTTTTTTAATCACTGTAGTGTCCTAGTTATCAGAGATTAGGAGCTAAAGTCAGCACATGGGAACTGGGCAAGAGTGATCCTATGTTGGAGTGTTTGTTTAGAATACACGAAGCTTTGAGTTCAAACCCCAGTAAATAAATAGATAAATAGATAAAGCCAGACATAAGGATTATAAAGCATGTTGAAAATGGACATATTCTCTCTTACAATCACAAATTCTTTTTCTTGGGTAGCAGATGAATAATTGGCTTGAATTTCACATCCTATTTTAAAAACACATTTCTAGATAGGGAAGGAATGTAGTGCAGGGTCAGAGCGCTCACCTAGCATGCTTGAGGGCCCTAAGCTTGATCAGCAGAACTGAAAAAAAAAAAAAAAAAACATGAATAAACACATATCTTTAAGCCCTGAAGCCGCACTGGGCCCAGGCACATCAAAGAACTAACAGGAGTAACAGATTTACAGCTCACATGCTTTCCAGGACCCACATTTATTTTGATTTCTCTCTTAGTGTTTTTGGCCAAATCTGTACACAGTAAGTAAATTTATCAGATGACGCTATTGTATAAATCATTAAAGTAAAAAGCATAAAGATATACATCTGCACTAGTGTGCAAAAAAGTGTGGAAATAAGGATAAACCAAAAACCTGCCCACACTGCAGCATATTGAGAGGGCTCTGAATTTCAATTTCTATACTGCCCATTTTGGTAATAATTTGCCAGTCTATACATAGCCCCATTAAAGAACATTAAAGTACATACAAATGTGTATTGGAATTTCCTAAATCACAACCTCTAACACAATGCTCTTTAGGCAATAGCTTATTTGGGGGCTACTGCCTCCCATTCTAAATGCCTTAATGTTTAACAGAAAGGAAAATATTCAACTGTGCTAAGTATACACAATAGCCTTTTGCTGGGTGGGCTTTTTCCATTTTGTTTTGAGATACAGTTTTGATATGCAGTCCAGGATAGACTCAAATCTGTATCCTCCTGCCTTGGCCTCCTCAGTGCTGGGATTACAGGCATGAGCCATTATGCCCAGCTCCAACATCCACTTCTTCTTAAATTGAATTTTTGTGATTCTCATACAATAGATTTCAACATCTACTTCTTGATTGCAAGGAATGTGCTATCTTTTGTAAGAAAGGACTCTGCAGTAACTGCTACTATATATTTTGCTGAACTTAACACTTAAAATATACTGTGTTTGAAAAACAGACAAAATAACATTTAAGAAGCTTAAACTAAGAGAAAGAACTGGAATATTACTCATCCGTGATGACTCAGTACAAATTGAAATTTATCCTAGAGGAGGTTTTTAAATCTTATCTATTTATAGAAAGACAGATTGTGCATTACTATATGTAGAGTCTCAATGTTAAGAATAATAAGATTTTAAAAAGGCAAATTCACATTCACTACTCATTTATGGTAATGTATTGATCTTAGTAAATACCGTGCAAATCATATAAATCAAAAAGAAAAAAAATACTTTACCTATCACAAAGGAAACTATACTTATACATGTTATTATAATAGCTTCCACAGAGATTGTTCAAAATTTTGCTTTTTCATAGGCAAACATAGTTGCTTACTTTTGCATCTTTTTTGTTAAATCATGTACTTATGTGGGGGGTGAACATATGCACACACATGGAGGTCAGGGGACAACTTGCAGAAGTCAGTTCTCTCTTTCCATCATTTGTGTACCTGGAACAGAGCTCAGGTTGTCAGGCTTGGCAATAAGTGCCTTTACCCACTGAGCCATCTCACCAGCCCATTTTTGCATTGTCTAAGCTTAGAATTGGATTGGTCTGGGTTACTCTCCATACTTTTGTTAATGAATATTTCCATATTCTGCTCTTTGTGAAGAATGCCAAATTCACTTACAAGGGTTATCAACTCCACAGACTCATTTTCACATACTGACAATACCCAATTATTGGAAATTTCCCTAAAAATATATTAATCATTGAAATTTAAATGAAATCAAACAAAACAAGTATATCACATAAAATTTGTTGAATTAATGTTCTTATTCATTTAATGGGACTGTAGTTCCCACTGTAGTAGTATAAAATAGTGCTTCTACATATTCCAAGTTTTAAAAATGCAATTTTAGGGTCAGGCATGATGGCACACAACTTTAATTCCAGCACTGGGGACACACAGGCAGGTGGATCTCTGTAAGATCAAGGTCAACCTGGTCTACACTGTGAGTTCCAGGTCAGTTGGGAGACCATGTCTCCAAAAAATGTCATTTTTATACTTATTTGACCAAAAGAACAATGAAAATTATGTGTTTGGAAATGTCACAATAATTCATCAATAAACAGATGTGGTAATAATAGTTACAAATGTTATGTTTTGTATTTTTTAATTGCCCATTAATAAAAGAGTAACTCAATAGTATGATTTTTCCAGTGTTGTATACTGCTTGCTTATAAATTTAAAGAGTGTGGGTATAACTAATTCATTATCATAAAAAATATACTCGTTAATAAAAATGAACAGCATGAAGGGCAATGCTTATTACTGGCTCAGTACAATTCTAAATAAAATTCAGTGAAGAAGAAAATACACTGTGTGTCTGTATGTGTTTGAGAGAGAGAGAAACAGAGAGAAGGAAAAAGAGAAAAGGGAGAGAGAGAGCTAAGAACACACTAGCTAGACTGGATTAGTAAACTGAAGATTATTTATTTCTCAGTTATACAAATGATAGTTGGGAAAAATGTTGTCATGACTGCTGGATGACACACAAAGAAGAATATAAAATGTCCTAAAACACTGCTATATTAAAGGTATGAGAGACACCAAAATTACCTGTGCTGATACTGAAGAAGCCAAATGCCATCTCACATAACCTAGGAGAAAGTGAAGATTTAACAGCCAGCACCCTGGGCTTCTAGTTCTGCCAACCATCATCTGGCTTCTCTCATTTGGGATGTAGCTAGGATGCATTCACTAAGTCAGCAGCCTCATCTCTGCCTCACATTGGAGGTCACAGCAGGACCAATGGGAGCCAACTTCATATGGAGGAAGAGAAACAGGAGAACAAAGTGTGCAGTGCTAACTGCCCTTCTTAAAATGCACTCACAAGCCATTTCAAACCTCAAGGTCTTGATTTACTTTCTTACTCACACTTCATTCATTCACTGAGAAAAATAACAAAAGGATTAGATTTGATAAAAAGCAGAGTTCCATGGTTCTGGGAATATTTAGCCAGATGCATGTAGTTTGGAGCTAGGAGAAACTTGAAAAATCAAGTTCTTCATTTACTATACAAGAGAGCAGCTTCAAAGAGGCTTGGTGACTTGACCAAGGTTACTATCCTGTCTTTTTTTTAAGGATATATAGTTTTCCAGTATAGTTTTCCAGTTGTGTTGTTTTTGTTTTTGATACAGGGTCTCCCTGTATCCCAAGTTGACCTGGAACTCACTATGTAGACCAGTTTGGTGTCTATTTTACAGAGATCTGCCTACCTCGGCCTCCCAAGTGTTGAGATTATAGGCATGTGCCACCATGCCTGACATAGTTTTCAAGTTTTTCTTTCAGATCTTTAACATAAGAAAAAGAAATAAATACCTGCGAGAATGCTTTAAGTATGTTATTGGGAAAGATGCCATTTTCTAATTGTACAATACACTGTAATTGAAAGACAATAAGTGAAAGAATGGAAAGCAAATAAAAGAGAGCCTTGCTTACCAAATGACAGCAATGTCACAGCTACAGTAGTGTTCAGTGCCAAAAACTCAAGAAACAGAAAGGAATGCCAAATGACTGTCCAAACATCAAGGAAATTTTTGTCCTTCAGGGTTTACTAGGAAAAGTATATAAAGACAACACCTGTGAACTAACATATTTTCAAAAAATTCTGTTTGAAAGACAAAATAAGTTTGTGATAGTCCCAGGAGAAAAAGAGAAATAAGACTTTATGACACACATTGGAAAGTCTCTCCCTCCCAAGGCTGTCACTCTAGCACAAAGTAACAAAAGCAATGTCTCACTGGTTAAGATCCAAACTGCATGCTTTGGTTCCACCCTAAGAAGTAAACTAAATTTCCTAATGGAATGTGCTTATTTTCCATTTAACTTGGTGATTCTTTGTAATTTTTCACATTCCAAAGAAGAATATTAAGAAGTAAACTAAATTTCCTAATGGAATGTGCTTATTTTCCATTTAACTTGGAACCATATTGATGGTTGCAGTGGTTAGTGACTCATATTTTGTGTTTGGGAATGGTTCTTTTACATACTTTGTCCTTCACCTCACCTTTTTTTCTTTTAGGGATGTCCAGTCAGGAGGGATCTCGCACGCACTGTGTTGCCAGCATACAGAATTTGAGGCAAGGGGGTCACTACTTCCTAGTTAGTCTGGGCTACCTTCTCTCAAAACATACAGAACAAAACAACAAATAACAAACAAAAAAAACAAAAAAAAAAAAGCAGAATTTCCAGTGCAACACATCTTTATTAACCAATTTCCCAGGGGTGAAAACGTACCTAAACTGAGCAAGATAGACATTACAGCTTTGTAGAAATCTACAAAGAGAAGAGAGAAAACAAGCTAGTAAGGCAAATATAATATCCAAGCAACTGAAGCAGACCCTTCAAGCAAGGCTCTAATTTGGAGAAGGAAAACCTAATGTTGACTTTATTTCATATTCCTGAAATGAATCTCTACCCTAAATAATGAAAACAACAGCAGTAAAGACATCTAAAGGAGGACAAGAAATCATGACAAATCCTAATTTTGCCTTCTTCCTTCATAAACACACAAAATTTTAAAGGTCAATGTCACAACATAAAGTAATAAATGAATTCCTTAATTAAAATACCTCAGTAGACTGTTTAGTCTGCCTCTGGTGAGCACAAACTTACTTCCTCTGTAAGAAGCCTACAATTGACCCAAAAATTTTTGACAGTCTTTTTAATGTTCATCCCTAATGCATTTACTCTTTTTTTTAAATATATGGTACTGTCAATTAAGCAAGAATATATCATCATAAGTCCAATTCCTGGACTCTCTAAAAGGAAAAGTGATTCTGGGTTTATTTTAGGTAATATCTGAGTTGATTCAGTTATTCCAGTTACATACTTAATTCTTACAATATTTCTTGCATTTCTGTAAGTTTTAGACACCAACACATAGAGAAAAATAAAGTGAAGGAAATTTGTAACAGGATCCTGCCCAAGCAAATTGTCAGTAGTCTGTTGGCAGAAGGCCTTTGTGTGAACTATTTCCAAGACCTCAATCTGAAAGGCAGCCAAAGGCTCCACAAAAGAGCAAACCCCAAACGGCTTGCTACCTTTCACCTTTGACCCTTTACCCAGCTGTCTCAGGCTCTGTAAACTTGAGATCATGAAAGAAGGCTTAGTCACCCTGTTTACAAACAGTGTATTTATTCCTCAGGAACAGACTGGCAAGACATATCCAGGTCACCTGACCTTGAGTTGTCACAGAAACCATGAGCCTTGGACTATTGTAATTAAGCCAAAACTGCAATATTTGGACTGGTTGAAATCAGCCTTGGATGGTGCAGCAATCATCAATCATTTAGTTCACTTCCAGGCTGTGTGCTTCACCCAAGTAGTAACACATAAAATACGAAAGCAATCATAGTAGAACTCCAAGTGGTATAAGTCATAGCTTGCATGGAAGAGAGGAAAAGTAACTATTTTAATCTGAATATTAGAAGTTAGTTTCAGCTACGTTGCCCTACATCTAAGTTATCACTATGCAACAAAAAGTGGACAATATTTTAGCTATTTGTGTTTCCAAAACTGGAGTCTTTTAGTCAGACTTTGCATCAAGTATCTACCAGAAAAATGACTTGGTAGAATACAATATGTCCAGCGTGTCTGAGATGATCCCTCGGGCTACAGCTTTGATCATTCTGGTGCTTCCTTTAGAATGGATTAATTAATTGATTTTTTTGTCTTTTTGAGACAGGGTCTCCCTGTAGCCCCAGCTGTCCTGGAACTCATTATGTAGACCAGGCTGGCCTTGAACTCACAGAGATCCACCTGCCTCTGCCTCCCAAGTGAAGTAATTGATTTTTTAATGTTTTATTTATTGTTTTTATTTTATGTGTATGTGTGTATTGCCTTCATGTAGGTAAGAGCACCCATGTCATGCAATGCCATGGAGAACAGAAGACACTGTCGGATCCCCTGGAACTGGAGTTGCAGACAGTTGTTAGCTGCCTATGAGCACAAATATAGCCAGATTCCTTTTTTAAATTGTGAAAAGTTATCTTAAGAAAGAATAAAACAGGGACTGGGAAAATGGTTCAGTCAATAAAGTATTTGCCATGCAAGCAGGAGGACCTGAGTTTGGATTTACAGCACCCACATAAAAAGTCAAGCATGGAGCAGGGAGTGGTGGCCCATGCCTTTAATCTCAGCACTCTGGAGGCAGAGGCAGGTGGATCTCTGTGAGTTCAAGGCCAGTGTGGTCTCTGTAGTGAGCTCCAGGCCAGTTGAAGCTACAGGGAAACCCTGTCTCAAAAAGACCAAAGAAAGAAAAGAGCAGGGAAGCATGAGCCTGCAATCCCAGTGACTGGGAGGCAGAGACGGGAGGATCTGTGGAGCTCACTGGCCAGCCAGCCTAGGCAAATCTGTGATCTTTGGTTTCAGTGAGAAACTCTCAAAAAATCAGATGAAAGCAATCGAGGGAGGCATGTGATGTGAATCTCTAGCCTCCACCTGCACACACACATGTTCATGAGCACCTGCACACACACATACACATACTCACAGGAACATGCATATACAATAGATACCCACACACAAAGAATAAATAAAACAGTAAGTTATCACATTTCAAAGGGTTATTTATTGAGTGATAATGAGTAAATGCATTTATTATTTGATTTCCTCACTGTGCTCAGCACATCAAATTCACCAAAGTGATACATGCACACAACTTATCAAAATATCTACAATCTGAAACATGGACAATGTGAGTTTTAAGTCGAGATCAATATGGTTGTTTGTGTACATATATACACACATATATAATATATGCATATATTCATCATTAAGGAAAATTAAATTAATTGCCTTGAATGTCACAAAAGGACAGGCACTTGACAAATGGCAAATAGGCATTTTAAGTTAGGAGAAGCACTTCCTTCTTTTTTAATTTATTTATTTTTATTTTATGTGTATGAGTATTTTACCTGCTTGTAATGTATGTACACTATGTATGTGAAATGCTCATAGAGGCTAAAAGAGGGCATCAGATCCCCTAGAACTGGAGCTAAAGATGGCTGTTAGTCTCCATGTGAGTGCTGAGAACCAAAGCCAGATCCTCTACAAGAGCAGCCAGTGTTTATAAGCACTGAGCCATCTCCCCATCCCCTAGCACTTTCTTCTTTAATCTAAATACAGTGATGGTGGTGGTGGTAATAGGAAACATTCGTTAAATGGGCCGGGCACTACTGGGAATGCTTGATGTAGATCAGCTACTCTAATCTCTACAGTCCCCTGTAAGATATACATTGTAATCCTTCTCATTAAAGAATAAAAAAGTAAAACTAAGTAAGGTTAGGATACATCTCTAGTAAGAAGAAAATGTGAAATTTCACCATAAGCAATATGACCGAATCTCTAAGCACACCCTTTCAAAACAACTTACTGAGTACACAAGTAAAAGAATGTGGCATCACTTAGAATGATACCTATATCCTTTTTAGTTTATAAAACATGCTCAAAATATATCTACATTTCACTATAATTCTGTGAGATTAAAAACAATTAAACATTAACAGAGTTATTCAAGGTCACTTGGTTAATAAGTAACTCAGTGACTATGTCAGTCCAGGCTTTCTACTGCATCCTCTAATGTTTTCCTACTATAATGACTCTACTTGTTTCTCACTCAGATCTTCCTTAAGATGGAATAGTATTGACTCAACTAGAATGAAGAATTTCCAGGGTGGATGAGAACCAGCAAAATAAAGACTTCCTTAACATTAAAAGAAATAATAAAAATAAATCCCATTTTCCACATTTCAAAATCAAGATTTGGTATCAGTATTCAGTATCAAGATTCTTATATTAGAGAGAAAAAAGGACTAGGAGTACTTCAGACCTAATGGATCATCTTGTGACTAAACCAGGCGGGGCATGGATCATCAAAAAAAGAGCTAAACAGGATCCAGATGGAATAAAACCTAGATGAATGACTTAAAGATCCCCTAATTCTTTTTTTTTTTTTTTTTTTTTTTTTTTTTTATGTAGGCAAGGCTGACCTCAAACTCTGGGTAGCTGACTGAAGATGACCCTGAACTTTTGATCTTCCTTCTCCCACCTCTCTAGTGCTAGGCTTATAGGCTTGCACCTACATGCCTGGTTTTATACAGTGCTAGGGACTGAATTGAGTGCTTCTTTTTTTGTCTTTTTGAGACAGGATCTCCCTGTAGCCCCAGCTGGCCCGGAATTCACTATATAGACCAGGCTGACCTTGAACTCACAGAGATCCTCCTACTTCTGCCTCTGGAGTGCTGGGATCAAAGGTGTATGCCACCACACCTGGCTCTAACTCAGTCTTATGCTGTCACTGCTCAAAAGCCAGTAACAATCAGTTTCAGAAAATAGATTTGACAACGGGCTCCTATAGGAGGTATATTTGCAATGTTAGGAAGCAGTACCATTCACAAAGGCTGGTTAGGGTGCATCCATAGTAGAAAGTATGTTAGGAAAAGTTAACATGTTCCCAGAGCAAGGGATTTTTAGAAAGCCTTTGTGAAATCTGAGAGACTCATTAGAGATAAGCTGTAGGATTAAGACTTTCTCTTTGTTTGTTTTTGATGCTTTCTCATAGCTATGGCATTGCTACAACCAATATAAAAGAATAAATCAAGAAATAAATAAGAAAGAGGAAAAAAATAAAATAATGTGAAAATAAATACATTGGGAAAGCTCTAAAATTTATGTGGGTGAATGCATGTATGATGTGTGTGTGTATGTGTGAAAGTGCAGGCATGTACATGCCACACTGCATACACAAAGGTCAGAGAACAACTTTCAGAGGAGACTAGTTCTGACTAGTTCTGTCCTTCCCCAATGAGCTCCAAGGGTCCAACTCAGATTGTCAGGCTTGTACAGCAAGTGTCTTTACCCATTGGGCCTCTTTGCTGTCCAAGTTGGGTAGGTTTTCTTATACACACACATACACACACACACATACACACACACACACACAAATACAATTAATTTTTAATTAAAATTTTAAAAGATAAATTTAAATAGAAACAGAATTACTAAGAAAAAGCTCCTTTTATAATAAAATAATGAAGAATTTAGTTAGCAATATACCATAAGCTGAAACTTTAAAACAATAGTAATACATTATAGAACAAATCAGCACTCGCTTTTAATCCCAGCACTCCAGAGGCAGAAGCAGACTGATCTCTGTGAGTTTGAGGCCAGCCTCGTCTACAGAGTGAGTTCCAGGCCAGCTGGGGCTAAAGGGAGACCCTGTCTCAATAAGACAAAAAAAAGATAGAACAAATCTGCTTTTAAAAAAAGAAATA